AGATCTAGAATGAAGTGAGCTGAACAAGATGTTAAAGTTTTAAAAGCAACTGTGAAGCCGTTTTTCTTAAAGTTTGCAGACAAGGATTTTAGCATTTGACTTCAAAATGGCCGACAGGAAGTAGGTATCGAGTTAATTTTTTTTCATCCACATCTGTATGCACTCATAAGTTATCCCTGAAAATTTGAAGGTGACATCTGTAGCGGTTTTGGAGAAAACTGCCGGACGTACGGACAGACGGACAGACAGACAGACGGACAGACAGACAGACGGACAGACGGACGCGCCTAGGCCGACAATATGGCCCCACACTATGTGGTGGGGACATAAAAAGGGGTGGACCTGAAAATCAAGAGGACTTTTGCAGAAAAAATCTGATGGAGGGAATTGCTTTTCAATTTTGGGCCTAAAAGGCCAGTTTGTTACCAAAATTGGCCAGTTTGTGTGGGGAGAAGCATAATTTTGGCCATTCAATTCTACCCCCACCCAGCAATATCTATATCTTCAAAGTCAATAAAAGATATAAATGTACAACTTATAATATCACCAGTCTAGCCAATATATCATAGCTTCTTTGATACACCAAAAGATGGCAGGGTTAATCGGAAAAGTCAATTATAGGTCGTAATATTGATTAGATGAAAATGAATTTCAAATCTTTTTAAAGTATTGTAGCATACAGTGACATAGCCAGGAAGAAAAAGCGATGAGGCAAAAAATAGTTCGTAACCTTGCCTCACTTGCCTGGCAATAGAAGAACACGAGGATAACCCTTACGTAATGAGATTGTTGATTTTTAACATTAAAATGTTATTCAATTAATTTACAACTCATCATTTGTTGCTAGCGGAATATTTCTCAAAAGATGTTAAAAAAGCAATGAGGCAAGTGCTTCGTCTACCTCATCCTGGCTACGCTAGAGGCATACATATATTTATTGTAAAAATTAAAAAGTTCATTCAATTACGAAAGTCTAATTATAACAAAACTGCATATTCTCTAAACTCCTGACTACCTGGAGTGATGAGATATCTTGTCACCTCAGAAATGACCTTGAAACCCAGAGTGACGAGAATATCCGTCACAAAATTTTCACTAAAATTGCTCTTATTTGAGCAATTTCCATCCAATTTACACAAAAAGTTTTTTAAAACGTGTAGAAATGATCTCTGCTGTTTAAGTTTACTAAGTTGAGCATCTCAAGTTGTATAGGTACATGTATGTAGTATAAAATGTCAAAAGGTGGCAAAAATGAAAAATTCTCTGGTTTCAACCCATTTTAGAGCCTGGGATTCAAGAGGTTAAATTAACCTTTGCCCCACCTATTTAAATTTGCCTCATTATTAATTAATTTAGGCTCACCTACTTTTGGATCATCACTATATCCTTATAAGGAAAGTCTGTAAATTTGACTTTCGTATATGATATGACAAGTAATGTCTTACTTTAAAGGCATATATGAAACATGCAACATCCCTCCTAGTAATTCTTTTAAATAAATACAGTATCATAGTCGAAGTGAGAAAGAACTATAACAGATCAATACAATGGGCCAACCATACACAGTACATGATGACAATTTTTGCATTCACTATGAAGCATATTCTAAAGATAAATATAAAAATATAAGAGTATTTGAAAAATCTATTGTTTTTTCAACAATTTTTGAGTAGTGTGAAGTCTGAGTTTAAATCAATACAGATACAGAGCTGGACAGATACTCAAAGGTCACCTTGATATTATAAAGGTCAATCAATATGGGGTTAAACTAAATAAATCAATGCCTAGTATAAACTCTCCTATTGCAAACTTCGAAATGAATAAAACCAATCTAGTATTAAATAAACTGACCCCAAAAATAAAAATTTAAACTGAAAAATGCTGCAACGGGTTTTAAAATTGCCACTTAACTTTTTACACGTTTGCAATTAATAATTGTATATTTTTATAATCTAAATAAAAAATGTGTGGATCTCATGGTGAAATAAATTGATTTTTGACAACAAATGTAGCTCTTGAGTATGATAATATTTCCCATAATTATTCACCTGCTCCGGGTCTGACATGTTCATATTACTATAGCAACCACAAAACATTAATTAGACTGATCTAGATACTGAAATACTTGATTATAATGTATAGATGAATTAATACAAATTCTTCTGAAATTTCATGGGAATTGGGTGAAACTTTAAAATGGCAAATACAATCACCTTAATATACTTTTAGATAACCTCTTGTAAGTACAAAGATTATCTCTGAGTGTTCTATCAAGCCCGTAGCCAGAGGTTTGCAGGGTTCGGGCAACCCCCCCCCCCCTGGCCAAAAATTCTTACAAAATCATGCAGTTTTTCACCATTTTGAGCACTTCTCAAGTGATTTTAGCCATATTTGGGCCAAAATTGTCAAATGTGAACCCCCTGGAAATTTTTGAAAACTGAATCCTCCCTTGGCAAATCCTGGCTACGGGCCTGTCTATCATCACTCTATTATACATGTACCTTGCATTTTGTGTTCATGGGCACCCCATTTGGCTTATCATTAATGATTATGTTATTTGTTTTTGTGTCTGCTGCTTATGAATGGTTTATTGGATGACTGTTAGATGTTAATAAGGTACATGTACTTTCAAAAATATACTAAACAATACAACTAGAAAAAGAGAATATCTTATGCATTTCTAGGGGTGAGGTATAGTAGAGTGATCATTATAGACAGATGAACATTTACAATGTAAGTGTAGAGAATATCAATCTAAAGTGTGCTTACAGTAAAATAAATAAGACGATGGGATTTTTGCAAGTGATCTATATTTCATCATGATAGACCATGACATCTCTTTTCTTCTCAGCCCTGAGATGTTTCAGGTGAAACAAAAAGGTGGTATGAGTATCAGAATGTCTATATTTAAGTACGCTTTGAGTTTAAGAGGCTTGGTAGTGCTTAAGTCTTGTTAGATATCTGAACAATTCAGTTAGAAAACCTAAATACCCTGTTAGATAACTGAAATACTCTGTTAGATAACTGGAATACTCTGCTAGAAAACTGAAATATCATGTTAAAAAATGTACTATTCTGTTAGAAAACTGAAATATCCTGTAAGATAACTGAAATATCCTGTTAGAACCGAAAAAGTTGTGTGAATATTGCATGCCATCCTTTTGAAAATCTAAAAAGTACTGTCTACACCCGGTTTAAAGTGACACATTTAGATTCTTTACTATTGAAACAGGTACAATGAAGAGTTTGCACCCCATTGAGAAAGCACCCTGGGGAAATCACCGACTGTATTTCTTGAAAATATAATTTAAGGGGTTAAGAGAAACTTATCCTATCAGATTTTATCCTATTATTTAATAAGGTCAAAATGCTACAAGTTCCAACATAAAATTTAATAATGGTCTTAATGTAATCTTTGTCTTATATGTATGTTTTTTAAATCGACAAATTGCCTTTAATTGAGTCTTAATAGCCGTGATATTTAAGGTCATGGTATAATTAGAATCAATACAGTGACATAAATACATTGACATCAATTAGCTTCAAAATTAATTATGTTTTAATAGGATTCTCTATCATAATTAGTACAGTATTTATTACCTAGATGTCAAATAAAAAAATGCGTTAAAAAAGTATTTTCATGTGTTAAAAATATTAATTTTCTCACATGCTTTATTGGATATGATCATTTTATCATTTAAATTAGTAATTAGAATTATGATACGTTCAATAAAATAAGAAGTTGTTTCACTACTTTGTAATGCTTGTTTTGATTTGTGCGAATTAAGGTTCATTAACAGATCTAATCTCGATTTAAACAGTTATTATAATTTCATGTGTACTTACAAAATAAAATTAATTTCTAACTGAAAGGTAAGATCAATCATAATTATTGACAGAAGGTTGTATTGCATATTGCATTTTATTTATGACCTTTTTGGTAACTGATATCTCAATGTTAGCAAGTTTGTTTATCTTTGTTGAAGGGGTCATGTGATATTTATTATGCACTGATGCAGATTTAACGAGGCGTATAGCCTTTTTATTTTTTCGTGAAGCCACTCAGTAAAATTACGATTTCTCTGCAACCTAATGTCCAATCAAGATCATTCAAGTATCTATGTGTTCCTGACACGTTTGGGCATCCGGGTTTAACAACGTCTACCCAAAGTTTGCACACAGAATTGATGTAATTCTTGACTGAAATCGGGAAGACAAAATTTGAGATTCACAAACAAAATTGCTTGTGAATACTATTTACAAAAATGTTCCAGAGACTCTAATCTACTTGGCTACTTGAAGATACATTACCTTATTAAGCAGGTAGAGGGCCAGAGGGGCAAACAGAACACGGAAGCAAATGCTAGGTTTTCTATATTTCAGTTTGAACATGTCATTACATGTCACATAGGCCAGTGTTTTATTTCTTGAAAAAAGAATTGAGATGTCTGATCATTCAGTAAAAAGGAGTTGTTGACCCAGCAATGTCCAAATTCATTAGCAAGGGGACCAACATGTACATCTATATAGAGTAATTTGCAATTGTAAGTCATAGGCCAATAACATAAATGTGGCACTTTGGAGGAAGTTTGGTTATGGACTTTGGTGGCAAAACAGAAATCACTTCTAAAATGTATGGTCGAAAGGTAAGGTTTAATAAATATATCAACATTCAACTGACGTGAATAATATGTATTTAATAATGTAAAATAAATCTAGTTTATTTTGTATTATTTTCATTCAAGGAGTCCACCCACTTCCAAGACTGATGGCAACATTGAACCTTGTAAATATACACTACGTTGAAAACAAATGAAACAAGGTGAGTTTAACGACCACCATTACAAAGACAGCAGAGTCAATGAAATGTCATTTGAGTTTGCAAGAATAAAAATTGTTCTTTCAAAGGAACTTCATGATTATTAGTCATAAGTGTCAGCTACATGTAGCAAAATCTCTCATTTATAAAAATAAACTATGAGGTTCTTAAGTTAACTTACCATTTTTTACTGACTTGACGCTGAGGTTGAGCGGGCCTGGACTGGATCTTGCAGTGACGCTAGCTAGTTCCAAATGGACAGGACCAGAGGGATTAGATTCTGCAGACATTGGACGTGGAGGTATAGAGCTCTGAGGCCTAGGGCTTGACTGTACAGAACCTTGAGGAATCTTGCCTAAATCTACTATGTCTTCTGTATGACTCGCAGTTGCAGTTTTAGATTTTGCTACATCAACATTATCATTATTAGTGTTACCATGACTTCCAGGCTCCATATGTTTATTATCATCTATATGCACTATATTGCCGTGAGATGAGTTTTCCTGCATGTTTTCAGTTGTCGCAACTGGCTCTTCAGATCTATGAATACAATGAGCATTGACAGGGTTTTCCTGTTCATGTCCTTTAATGTCATTACTATCTCTTAACTTAACATTATTGTATACTGACTTATCCACTTGGCAATGAATTGGCTCCACTTGGCAAGTATTCGACTCCACTTGGCTGATTTGTGGCGTCTCTGGTTGGCAAGACATTTTCTCCATTTTGGAATCAAGGTTTACGTCTCCTTGCAGTTGGGAATCTTGAATAGGTTGATTTTGCCCTTGTCCCAGTTCACATGGCTGAGGTAAGGAGTGTGCAGGATTAGCACAAGGACTCGTTTTCGTAAGTCTTGAATCGACATTATCCAAATTGATACTGCTCACTGCTTTATCTACAGGCTTATCATCTGTAGCAATTGAATTTTGACTGGTTTGTGTCTCAACTTCATCATTCTCCGCAACATGGCAAGCATCTTCATTCTGGCAAGCGTTGACAGTTTTACAAGGCACTACAGTCTGACGAGCCTCATTAATGTCATTACTCATTGGCTTATCTTGAGAATCATCACTAGGTACACACTCCACAGTTTGAATATTCTCCATGGATTCAGATGTAGCTAACTCCACAGTTTTAGCTTTATAAAGCTTTGAGCAATGTCCAGGAATTTTGTTATTCATAAAACATTTTTGGGATTCAGCAGTCTTGGACATGTCCCTATCATCTATTGTTGTATTTGAGTTAGGTCTGTATGTTACAGCTTGAGCATTCATTTGAGATCGCTCAGTTTTAAGATTGTCCCCATTGTACTGTTTAAAAGACTGCTTTATACCGTTTGGGGATGCACTGGAATCTCTGAAATCGAACATAAAATAATGACATATAAAGTACGAATAAACATTTAAACTGCATAATCAATAGTTGTAATCTAAAACAAGCTATAGTTTACGTTTTCAGAAAATTGAAAAAATGAACATATTTTTTCACAAATTAACGATAGCAAATAAATAATCAAAAATTAAAAAAATACTGGTTTGATTAATTACTGATAATTGTCATCATGAAACTTCTCATCTTGCAGATGTACCTAAGCTCCAATACTAATGACAGTATCTCAGGAATGAAATTGAAATTGATGGCCTCAAAGCACTCATTTGGTGACATATTTGCAATCTTGATAGTGTTGGAGATTGTATCACAATCATTACTGGTTTCTGGGAACAGATTAGTAAGGTATTTGATACTAATTGAGGTTTGCAATTCATAATGTCTCATCTATGGACAATTTATAGTATGCCCTTGAAAAAAGTATATTTTCCCCATAGAATGGATTGTGGTGAATTACTATAGGTATTTTGAGGAAATTACTCTCTGATGAAATGCTATACCTTTCAGCTGACTTGACAACATTACTTTGTGATGAAATGCTATACCTTTTTGTCTGACTTGACAACATTACTTTGTGATGAAATGCTATACCATTTAAGCTGACTTGAAAACATTACTTTGTGATAAAATGCTATAACATTTAAGCTGACTTGACAACATTACTTTGTGATGAAATGCTATACCATTTAAGCTGACTTGACAACATTAATTTGTGATAAAATGCTATACCATTTAAGCTGACTAGACAACATTACTTTGTGATGAAATGCTATACCTTTTTGTCTGACTTGACAACATTACTTTGTGATGAAATGTTATACCATTTAAGCTGACTTGATAACATTACTTTGTGATAAAATGCTATACCATTTAAGCTGACTTGACAACATTACTTTGTGATAAAATGCTATACCATTTAAGCTGGCTAGACAACATTACTTTGTGATGAAATGCTATACCTTTTTGTCTGACTTGACAACATTACTTTGTGATGAAATGCTATACCTTTTTGTCTGACTTGACAACATTACTTTGTGATGAAATGCTATACCTTTAAGCCGACTTGACAGCACTACTTTGTGATGAAATGCTATACCTTTTAAGCTGACTTGACAACATTACTTTGTGATGAAATGCTATACCTTTTAAGCTGTCTTAACAACATTACTTTGTGATGAAATGCTATACCTTTCAGCTGTCTTGACAACATTACTTTGTGATGAAATGCTATACCTTTTAAGCTGTCTTGACAACATTACTTCTTGATGAAATCCTATACCTTTTAGCTTGACTTGACAGCCCTACTTCGTGACGAAATGCTATACCATTTAAGCTAACGATTTATGTAAGCGGTGCATTCGGTAATGCGTTCAGTAATGTATATTTTGAACATAGTGTTTGCAAATTGATGCCTGGGGATAACATGAAATAAGAAAAAACTGTCGAGTTTGAAATTCAAAACTACATAAAATTTGGTAATTTGTTTATTTTTGTCGTTAGGGCATGGTCTACATTGACTTGACAGCACTACTTTGTGATGAAATGCATGCTATACCTTTTAAGCTGACTTGACAGCAATACTTCTTGATGAAATCCTATACCTTTTAAGCTGACTTGACAGCAATACTTCTTGATGAAATCCTATACCTTTTAAACTGACTTGACAGCCCTACTTCATGACGAAATGCTATACCATTTAAGCTAACTTGACAACATTCTTTTAATATCGTGATAAAATCCAATTCTTTATTCTACATCCTTGTCTACTATTTAATTTCAGTACATGTACATTTAATTAAATACCCAATGTTATTTTCTGGTACAAAATAAAGTAGGAAGATATGAGTTTGCTTCCTTAGTTTTTCAGGAAAGTATTCTTGTTTCTTCTTTGGGTAAATCTGGAAAGACCCATGCTAACTCAATGAAATACTCATATTTCAATTTACTCAATATAATACTCATATTTCAATTTACTCAATATAATATTCATATTTCAATTTACTCAATATAATACTCATATTTCAATTTACTCAATATAATACTCATATTTCAATTTACTCAATATAATACTCATATTTCAATTTACTCAATATAATACTCATATTTCAATTTACTCAATATAATACTCATATTTCAATTTACTCAATATAATACTCATATTTCAATTTACTCAATATAATACTCATATTTCAATTTACTCAATATAATACTCATATTTCAATTTACTCAATATAATACGCATATTTCAATTTACTCAATATAATACGCATATTTCAATTTACTCAATATAATACTCATATTTCAATTTACTCAATATAATACTCATATTTCAATTTACTCAATTTACCTAACACAATATGCTTACAAGAATGCTATACCAGAAACAAGGCAACATTAGCAAAATGTCACCACCTGCCATTTGTTGCAGACACTGACCACCCGCCGAACAATGTCCACAAAAACAGCGTCCATGTATTCATACTTATTACCAGAAAATCACAATACTCCGATTAAAGCTCCTTGAGTTTCTGTATATGTTAGTGTTTTACTACATGATTGCTAATTAATCTCATATTTTCCATTAGTCTTATCAGCATTACGGCTCGTGCGATAAATTGTCCATATTTGAAAACGGACTCTACAGACAAACTATATATATATTCCCACGTCAGCTAGTTATATTTCATATATGTGTACAGTTTATACATAGTAAAACCAATATCTGAAATATAGTATAGATACATGTAATTACACCTGTTTATAGTGATACAGTCAATCATCATATGATAGCATTGGTGTTTCTATACCATCATATTAGAATATTAAGGCAGATTATACAGCAGTCAATGTTGTTGGTAAAAACTCCTGGAGCAAATTCTGTATATTCATTTTATTCAGGTGGGGGGGGCAATTATTCATTGTATTCAGAGCACGTGTCAGTGTATACATGTATTGTATACTCCTGTATTGTATACTTATGTTTTCACGTCTGATTGAGGATATAAACTTCCTTGGCTAATATCAGTGTAAAATTGTCGCTTTGAATACCATTCTGATATCTGTAATTTTTCAAATAGACCCTCAAGTGCCGGTTTAACTTTATTACTAAAAAATCTAGAGATTTATTTATCAAACTTCAGGAACAATTGTAAAATTGATTCCTGCATATCCTGTGAACATTTTATTGAAATCCATGCATTTTCAAAAAATATATCAAAATAAAAAATATGGACATTTTTTTAGCCCACCCTGTAGTTTATTAACTGTAATTTTTTTGTTCATTAATAAATTGTTCTCACACTTGACATGGCCATCATATGCCTTTTTGGTATCATGGTGTTACCATGCCATATTTTATATATACATGTATATATTAAAAGGAAAATAAATAAATGATGATATTACAGAAAGTCTGGACTGTTTCCTGTTATCGGTTGGATTATAGAAATATTTAAAACCTGATCAAGCTCGTAAAACAAGCCCTGTAATGATTATCCTGCTCAACTAAATACACGTACAATATTGACATATCATGTACGCTGTATATAGAAGCATAAGTCATTGTTCGACTAAACATAAGCAATGAGTTCATGTTAATTAAAATTTTCAACATTTGGTTATAATTAACACTGTCGTGATTTTTCATTCTAACTTTACATATGGTTGTTGCCGCTGTTGCTTTAATATTGGATTTTACACAAATGAATCCTACACAAATTTCTATTTTTAAGACATCCATTAAAACATCAGAATACAATTTAACCTGGTTTCTAAACTTGTAAATGGCAAAGCTATTGGTTTCATATAATTTGACACTGGCTTGTCTGTTGGTGTGGGTAGTATCAGATTTAGAGAGTAACCTAAGATGTAATGAAAATTGTTTCAATTTAGTATAATAGACAGGAAAAGGGGTCTTATCACAGATTTTTTTCAATATTTTAATTTTTTGTTATCTTAAAAAGCACAAAAAGACCTTTCAAATCAGCCATGGCTTATGTCTTAATAATTTTAATTTTTGTGTAATAAGATAGGTTTTCCTGTTTTGAGGCTAAAATATAAGTTGCATGGCAACTAGAACATGTGATGGTTGAGGAAGTATCAAAATTACATATGAAAGAGGAAGAATGTTCTACACTGCATACGTCATAAGCACAAGCCCCTCAATAAAATTGGCATAAGATCCACTTTTAGATCACTGTTTTTTTAAATGAGGTGAAGTCTTGATTCTAAATACTAAGAGTGAAAAGAATTATTCCTGGGGTCCAAGGTACAATTTCCAGTTCCAAACTTATGGAGGGGAGTGTATATGCCACTGCAATAAAGACGTGGTCCTGTTTTTTAAATGAAGTGAAGTCTTGATTCTAAATACTAGGAGTCAAAGTAATTATTCCTTGGGCCAAACGTACATTAATAGGAGTGCAGGTGAGAAAAGGTTTAAATAACTGTTTCACTTTACAGATCTTTGACCACATAACAAAATAAACAAGGCATCAACATGCAAAATGTCACCACCTGCCATTTGTTACAAACAACGTACAAAAATATGTAGACTAACAACCTAACAAGTGTAGACATAAAAATGTATATTTTCCTTTAACTTGGATTCTTCAAAAACTCACCATTCTTGCCTTATAAAATTGTTACTTATTCGATTATTTGATATCAACTTCACTATTCCGCAACTATGGACATTATACAATATACATTCATCAAACAAAAATGACTTATACTCATTATATTAATATGATAGTAATAGGAGTATAATATAATCAAAATTGTTGTTTCATTTGGAAGATACCGACTTTAATTCAGCGAATATTGTCCAATTTCAAGAAAATGATATACTCACTGAAATTTGATGATCAGAGTATCTCGCCTACATACTTGATTTACATTAAATGTATATTGTACAAAGTTCACAATTATACAGTTTACAATAGCCTTTCTGATAGTCTATTTCTCTTATTTAAAAGAGAGCTTCGTCAACACTTTCCGAGAGATAATCCTTTTATATAGCCTTAGCCAATCAGAATAGGTCAATCAAAATCCAGCTAGTCAATCAGAATTGCAGACATAGAACATTAAGCCTTCATATGTAGCTGACCTTTATTTCATGTTCAAACTTCCATAAAAAATGCACGACAGCTTCTTTAGGAATTATAAGATCTTCTCCAAATCTGAAATGTATTGCTATTTGTTGGCCCTATTAAGAGCATAGTTAATACTAGACCTCAGGGTTAATTTACTGTTAAACATATAGGCCAATCAGACTAATTTAGCTAATGTTCTTGTTCTGCCTATATCGAGGAGTAAAATTGTATATAGACAGCTATAGTTAATTGTTATGGCCTCATTTATACTCAGTTGACGCATTAGGAGCAATTAATCAACAATTAGGCCAAGGCAATTTAATTTTTAAAAATTCAAACGGTTGGAATATATGTTAATATACATAGGATAAGCTCATGTCCTTTAAAACATGTACGTTAATATTAATTTTCATTTGCTAAAATTCCATTTTCTTTTTTTAGTTAAAGGGAGACAGTCATTTTGACAAGCCATGAATTTCCAATATACCATTGGAAAGGTTGGGGTAGAAAGACATGTGTGGTTGTAAAGGTCTAAGTCAGAAAATTGAAAACTATATCGACTCTCCTTCAAGGTCATTTGTCCCATGAAAAAAAATAATTTGGCATAAGTTATAAAATTTCTTCTTTCTTTTTGAATTGCCCTCTGTATTGATTAATGAATGATATAAACCTTGAAACATTCCCATATAACAGTGAAAAAATGAAACCCTGTAGGAAAACCCTGTCTCACCTTATTCTCTTAGCATAAGCCTTAAAATAATTCATATTACATGGAGAAAAGACAGACTACAGGACAGGATATTCAACAAGTTTTTGAACATTTTGCAAGATAAAGATGCAAAATGCATTAACAGTTAGATATGAGAGCCACCTATTGGCAATTTTAAAAAGTGCAGAATCTTTTTGGCTGGAATTATGCATGACCCTCAAATAGGACAATCAGTGACATACATCTTATACTTTATCTGGGTTGTAGCTAAATCCAGATGTTGCTCTGAATATTTGAATATGTTATTACTCTAAGTGGTTATATATCATTTATTATAGACTTTGATGAATTATACTCATTACTTCAAGTTTTAGGAGTCCTGGAACATTACATTGTGTATGATTAGTGTGAATATCTTAGAAATATTGTGTTAATGGCCCTGTTAGTGGAAATTTGGATTTATTAGGTTAGTGGAAACCTAGATTTATTTTTTACATGTTTTTCCAAATAGTACTTATAACTGTTATGTAATTGGTGTTATGTAGATTCCTTTGTGTTTCTATCGACAAACTTAAGGAAATAAACTAAACTAAGGTAACATTCACAAATTCAACTGCTTGCTGACAGTTTAACCAATTTATTTACTCATAAATGAGTCTGATAAAATAGTAAGTTAAAATGTCAGCCATCAGTTGAATTCACAAATACTACCTTAATCTTTCTAGAGGCAATACATGCCTTTGAACATTCAAATAATGCGTTCATGAATTTGAAGGGGAGCCAATTAATCTACAAAAAATATTTCTAGAAAAAAGGCAAAAGTAATCAAACCTCATTTATATATTGACACCCAATTTCAGTGACATTAGTATTGACACCCAATTTCAGCGACACTAGTATTGACACCCAATTTCAGTGACATTAGTTTTGACACCCAATTTCAGTGACATTAGTATTGACACCCAATTTCAGCGACACTAGTATTGACACCCAATTTCAGTGACATTAGTTTTGACACCCAATTTCAGTGACATTAGTATTGACACCCAATTTCAGTGACATTAGTATTGACACCCAATTTCAGTGACATTAGTATTGACACCCAATTTCAGTGACATCAGTGTTGACACCCAATTTCAGTGACATTAGTATTGACACCCAATTTCACACCAAATTTCAGTGACAATATAGTATTGACACCCAATTTCAGTGACATTAGTATTGACACTCAATTTCAGTGACATGAGTATTGACACCCAATTTCAGCGACATTAGTATTGACACTCAATTTCAGTGACGTGTGTTTCGTTATATAATTGTTAGTATTTTTCCATTAATGTACCTGTATGTATACTGATATTGCATCATGGGCTTTCAATTTGTATATAGCATAATAACACGTGAACGCATGTAATCTTGTACATCAAATCAAAAGAATCACTTTACATTTACCATATAGCAAATACCAATTTACCTCATAGATTCTGTCGAAGGGGTTTTTGCCCCACTCGGCATCTCATCATCCATCTCAGCCATAGCCCTTTGTACCTCTTTTTCAATGTCAAGGTCACCACCATCTTCTGCTTCTTTAGCCTCACTCTGAGTTTCAGCCTCATTCTGAGATTTCACATCAGCAGGGTCAGCCTCATTTTGACTTTGGTCAACCTTACTCTTGTTTTCAGGCTTTGAATATCTGAAATATAAATATTGTAAATTAAAATTATAGCTATGACGATCAAATTAGACGTGTAAAAATGGTATAATCTCAAATATCAGGGTTATTTCAATCTATTAATATATACTACACGTAGGATTCTCGCTATATGTTTAAAGCTTATACCATTATTTCACAAATGGATTTTGTTCAGTTGTTGTTCAATTTGTTAGCTCATCTTTAGCTTTACCATGTGAGCTACAAGAAGTACAGATAACTTCAAGCTCATGCATAGGGCATTAATTCAATCGAATATCTGTGTTTAAAAGAATTTCGGACCTATAAGTAATTATAGGAGTTCATGTATAACATTATAAATCTAAAGATAGCATAAAATACAACAATTCAATTTTTGCATTTTTCATACAATATAACCGCTTCATGTCTTGAATTATGAAATATGTGAAACCTGAAACTCGAAACATGAAGTTGAAACTAATAAACGGCCACGCAGAATATTATTAATATTTTGTCATTGGCCCCTGCGGGATTTTAATATCAGATCAGAAAATCTGATCATTGTTGAAAATAAAAAACATTGTTATTTTCTATTTACAAACTTAAAATAGTTAATAAAAAAACTATGTGCATCGTGGTAATATTTTTTTGAATAACTTTTAATAATATGTGGAATTGCTGTTGTTATTTCGAAAAGCATGTCAATCCATCTAAATATAGCACTTCTGATTGGTTGCCTGTAATGTGTCTGCTGACGGGTGTATAACCCTGATGTAACTAACTGCCTTAAAAGGTAGACTGAAATATGCCATTTACCATGTTCTGTTATCTATACAGTGCGTTTAAAAAAAATTCAAAAATATTGTAAAACCACAAAACCACTGTTGATTACATCAATTTCATTCAGTTCACCAAAAAGCCACATTTCTCGTCTCCCCATCGATATGTCACTTGTTCATATGTGATCATGGACCACAATTTTTCTATTTGTTGCATTTTTACGAATGCACTGTATACATGTAACTTCCTCTTTTCATAAACAACAATTGCAAATGAGGCAATTAAACAAAATAGCAATTAACACTAAGACGAAACTGTTGTGCAACTGTTTTTGTCTATTAAAATATTTGTTGCACTATTTACCTAAAAACATCTTTTCATTAGCAATGTTATCAGCAATCAACAAGTTAGTGTGCAAAAAAACATTTGGATGACGTATCTGGTTAAAATATATGTATTTTGCCCATTTTTGGTCCAAAATTGTCAAATGTGAATTCTGGAATTTTTTTAAAGTGTCTGTTCGATGCTCATGGGGTCAAAATACAGCTTATACACGTTCTTAATGAAGTAAATACCACTAACATGTAAAACCAGGTACCGTTCTTGTAAATATTTTTATAAATGTGAAATTTGATGTTCAAAATCGGGAACACAATGTCAAATGCCAATCATGACATCACGAACAGAACGGGTTTTGAATATGTTGTTGGAGTTCATAATCCCCGAATGTGCTTATAAAGTGTTAGTGTAATTGATTGCAACTGCATTCAATGAAGTGAGGAATTGACTCAGAGATGACTATGGAGCCACGTTTTTTTCTCCAATAAACAAAAAATATGATACCTAAATTAGAGCTTCCGACCCAGCGGTGCGTTTTCACATAGCTAGTCATGCAGAATTATTTTTTGGCCAGTCAGAACACAATATAGAAAATAAACACGCTCAGTTGATAGTATTACATAACTAAAGCTGTCTAAAATCTTGTAACCAAAAGGCATTGAACCATGAGGTGAATTCGGTAAGCGTTACTCCTTTCTGGCCAATCAGAACACAATATAACATAAACAATTTTAACTTGGCACTTAAGTTGCATAACGCATTGCCGTTAAAAACCCATAACCGGTTCTGTTCGTGACGTCATGTTTTTTCGCGTGAAATCTTATGTTGCCACTAATGAACAAACGGAATGAGTTGAGAGTCTGTTGGAATACTATTTTTACTTACTGATATCTGTTTAATCAATTATAGTGAGAAAAAATAAACAGAAATTACCGAATTAGCACTTTAAAAGGTGCATCCCCCTTGTCTGAGCAATTTTGGATTTTTTGCCAAAATAGTCAAATTAGAACCTCTCAGATATTTTTAAAAGTAGCAAAAGCTGGCTATGGGCCTGATATGGGAGACAGAAGAAATATAGCTGTTTCACCATTTGCATTTACTTGGGACAACCATAAACTAGAAATTTCACCATCTTTGAATAAAGTCCTACACTGTATGAAAATGGACTTATATTTATATCACTAGAAGATCTACATCATATGATCTTATCAAATCAATAGATATTTCACCATATTTGAATATAATAAGATCTATATCATACATGTATGTCCGCCTGTCAGATTACTAGTACAAGAAATTTCACAATCATTTGAGAAATAGAGGTTCTTGTATGCGTATCTTTGCAAGATCGTCCATTCTTGATGAGTTGAAGACGTAACATTAATTAAACTTTTGGATCAAATAATTGTACTTACTCTTTACTCGGTACTTTTTTGTCCTCCTTTTGTAGACACTTGGTCGACTTATCCAACCCTTCATCTGCCTTACTTTGAGCGTTTTCATTCTGATTGCCTGAATGTGACTCAGTTTTGAGTTTATCGTCCGGTTTCAGCTTATCAATTTTATCTTTAACTTTGGATGGTTTATTCTCGTTCTTTGAGCCCAATTCTACATTTTTCAGTTCAACACCTGACATTAACTGAATTTTCTGTTCGAGCCAATTGTTCCGAGGAAATTCCTGCGATAAACGTGCGTTGAATTCACTGTGAACAAGGTCCTGCATCATGTTAGGATTCGATCCTCGAGTATGCGATCTTGTCACTGGCTTCCCGTTATTAGCACTATCAACTGAAAACAGAAATGTTTAAGTTCTTGCTAATTAGCAAACTATACACAACTTCGACTAATCTTAGTAGGTATGCTATTTGCGACGGCTACAACAGTATAAATACATGTAATACAACATGCGCTATATATATAATATGACAATACAGCTAAACCTATCTTCGATGAACACTAGGTGCACTAGCTAAAAATGTTCGCATTGAAGAGTGCGTAAGATCACATTTAGAGGCCTAATAACGATAGCCAATGACTAACAAATGATACATCAGTAAGATCAGTGTCTGTAGGTTAAATCATTCACTTTCCAGAAGTGTTCACTTTGCGAGGTCTCGTGGTATCATAATATATATCCCCTTACAGTTAAATTCACCAAACATACAAATAAATTAATAATAAATAAATATTACAAATCATGTATTTATTCATCGGATGATTAGGCACCGTCTGTAATAACAGATCATTCTTGTTGAGTTTTCTGGTTTAAGTAACATACAAAAGCAAATCATCAAAGATATTGTATTTCTGAGACAAACATAATTTGCAAGATCACGTTATCATTACCTGTATTTCTTGTATTAATATAAGAAGAAGAACAATATGAAATTCTACTAAGGGCCTTAATAACTACCATTGAAACATGTGATTTCCACGAATCAATTTTCACTATAATAAGCTAATATATGTTGCTGCATTCAATGTCAATTAATTCTTAATTTTTCATCTTATTCAATAGCGATACAATTTTTTCATGAGATAACCAGAACAACGGCAACGCCAAAGCGTAGCGAATCCCATCGAACAGAAATGGCTGGCATTTTTACAAACGAAATATATAGCAAATATCATAAAACAACACACCAGAAAGGCCACCATTTTCAAAATGGTTAGCCAAGTTGTCATCAGAAGAAATAATATGCTTTTAGTAGCCACCTATAAAATTTTTGAAAAATTGCACACATGTACTTGTGAAATAAGTAAAAAATGTAAAAATGACAGCCATTTTTTAAAATGGCTGCCTACTATCCGAAGTGTCATGAGACAGTGTGCAAGGCTCGTGAGTATTCACATATCAAATATGAACAAAATCGCTTCACTACTTTTAAAGTTATAGTAAAAACGTAAAAATGGTGGTCATTTTTCAAAATGGCCGCCTACTACCCAAAGTGTCATTAGACAATGTGCCATGCTTATAGTATTCACATATAAAATATGAAACATACCAAATATGAACAAAATCGCTGAACTACTTTTCGAGTTATAGTAAAATACATTAAAATGGCAGCCATTTTTCAAAATGGCCACCTTCTACCAAAAGTGTCATTAGACAATGTGACATGCTTATAATATTCACATACCAAATATGAACAAAATTGCTTCACTACTTTTCGAGTTATTGTAAAATACGTTAAAATGGCGGCCATTTTTCAAAATGGCTGCCTTCTACCAAAAGTGTCATAGGACAGTGTGCCATGCTTATAGTATTCACATACCAAATATGAACAAAATTGCTTCCCTACTTTTCGAGTTATAGTAAAATACATTAAAATGGCGGCCATTTTTCAAAATGGCCGCCTTCTACCAAAAGTGTCATTGGACAGTGTGTCATGCTTATAGTATTCACATACCAAATATGAACAAAATCGCTCCACTACTTCTCGAGTTATAGTAAAATATGTTAAAATGGCGGCCATTTTTCAAAATGGCCGCCTTCTACCATAAGTGTCATAGGACAGTGTGCCATGCTTATAGTATTCACATACCAAATATGAACAAAATCGCTCCACTACTTTTCGAGTTACAGCAAAAATCGTAAAATAACGAGTAAAGGCCGCCATTTTTCAAGATGGCTGCCATGTGCTTTTTTAATATCTACATTTGTAGCTTTATTAATGTCCTTTATAATTTTTTTACACTTAAAACATATTGCTATTACAGTTTTACATATTGTACCTAAATTACTGTAAAATCGGCACTAAAATGGCCGCCATTTTGAAATGAGCAGCCATTTTGAAAATCGGCTTTCGAGCAGAACTTCTACTCCCATAGGGTATATGTGTACAAAATATGAACAAAATCCGGCCAACGGTATTTGATAGAGGATGACAGCCTTCGGGCCTGTAGCCAGGGGGGTTCGCAGGGTTCGGGCGAACCTCCCCCCTGGCCAAAAATTCTTTCAAAATCATGCAGTTTTCACCATTTTGAGCACTTCTCAAGTGATTTTAGCCATGACTAATGATTTAGGAATGTGATATCACCATATCACCATGGGGATAGATGAAAAATCCTCATTATCTCAGAACTCAAATTTATGGAATCTCGACAGGTTCATTCATGTGGCATAGTTTTGCTACAATCCATTTTCAATAGTAAGAATTAGGGGTTCTTAAACAGGAATTAGGGGTTCTTAAACAGAAATTAGGGGTTCTTAAACAGGAATTAGGGGTTCTTAAACAGAAATTAGGGGTTCTTAAACAGGACATAAAAGCTTAATTGCTTTTTTGAAAATTTTGGTTATAGCCCTAATTCTTTTGGGTGAGGACTTAGCATAGGATCGAGCTTTTTGTCAAATCTTTTTGTTTTTGTTTTATTAATTTATTTATGCTGAAAGATAGATGTACATACATGTACTTAAATGAACTTCTAGGGACATGTATTTAGTACTTAAATGAAATTCTATGTACATGTATTTAAAATGTATTTAAATGAAATACCAGATGTAAATATACTTAGAATGTATGAAAATGAAATACTGATTGTCTTATTAGCCATATTTCTCACGATAAGAGTATACAATTACAGTATATTAATTATGGCACAATTACATATTTCATGCTACCCTATTTCCACACAAATTATTGAATCATGCCTGCTTTATCTCAGTCATTAATTTTCAGTCAAATATGTACATTTTAATACGAACGATATGCATTTCCATGGCAACCGGAATACCAAAATTAATGAAACTTGTAATAAATAGATGCTTATTAACCTATTAATGTCAACATGACTGAATAGATATTTCAGGAATGACATTGGTTTTTCAAATTACCAACTCATGCATCCATATGATTTGAAAACAATTTTTTATATTTTTATAATAGCTCCAGATTAAATCATTGTATTGTCTACTTAATATTTATTCACTCTGGAGTTAATGTAATGACCCGTGGGTGCCCCAGGGGGATGACTAATGAGCATAGTGTAACAAGCCAGATACAGATAAGGCATTAACATGAAAAATTTCACCACCTGCCATTTGTTACAAGTGCTTGTTTCAGATGAACACCAACCACCGTCTACAAAAACTTGGAGACTAGAACAATATGTGACCACTTTTGGTGGTAACATAGAAATGAAAGGAGTGATAAATTCAACACCTCATTTGGGAATCGAACCCAGGACCCTTAGATTCAAAGACTGTTGCTTTTCCATCTTTGCTATAAAGGCTTTAGCCACTACAGCTGGGCAATCTAGTAGCAACTTGCTAATTCGAGGGTCCTTACATTATTATTAGCATAATTTGAGTTTAATGACTCAAATATCTAAGCACAAATGCCAAAGGGAAAGGACCAAAAGTATAAAGAAACCTAGCAAAAAAGCAAACCCTAACTGTAAACCTGTCATAAGAAAAATATACCTTATATATCCTAAAACCATGAGCTAACATGAAAAGAAATAATGTCTAACACCCTTTCGCATTCCAATCGAGAACCAATATCACAATCAAGGACCAGAACACCAAGGGACATTTCATTCATACTGAAGCCATTATAATACATGTTCAAGAAAGATTTGAAAATCAATAGCCAATATACTTGCTATCTAGGGTCAAAGTGGGCATCAAACTGCAATAGCTGACTCATCTTAATAAGTGAAAGTCTGGATTGTCAAAAACTAATAGTCCTTTTACTATAAACAGATATTCCAATAATATCATCTCATGGGCGATAATTTACTACTTTTTTTATTAATAGCATCCAGGGAGGTTCCACGTTTCAATTTTCAGAGAGACAACAATTTGGTAAATGTTTTGACAAATGTCTTGGACAACTTTACGAAGTTGTGAAAAATAAGTGTCTGGAGAAATAAACAATATTTTCAAGTTTTGCATAAAACAAGATCACATTTAAGGCCTTAAATAAGATTGCATTAGGCATAAATCATAATTTTCATATTTTTTTGTGATGGCAGCCATTTTGATTACATGTAAAGAGCTTGAGATCTGGATTCCAATTCTCACCTTTTCAAGGTGATAATTTACTTTTTTAATAAAGTATTTGTTGAACTACCTCTCCAGTACACATTTTTATAAATTTATATCAGTATATTCTCATCAATAAAAACCTTATTTCTTATAATCTTACCCAAAAATTCATTCATGTAAATATAACCAAATTTAGTTCATACTAGAGCTTCTTGCTAATAGACTCATGGGCATTTATTTGAAAGAGAGATGCATAAAAAGATTGTTCCCCTCTTTTTAAAGGCCCATGGGTGTTTTTGAGTGTTATGAGAGCTTCTTTAAATGAACATCTAGCGGGTGAAATATTTAAGAAATATTCAATGACATTGTGAAAAACCTTACCATTATAGTACTTTATATGTGTAAAGTGTGAACCTGTATGCTCATGAGCAAAACAGTGAAATAATGTGATGTCATTGACACATTGATATAATCTGATGTCATTGATACTGTGAAACAATGTGATGTCATTTATATAATGTGATGTCATTGATACATTGATATTATGTGATGTCAATGATGCAGTGAAATAATGTGATGTCATTGATACAGTGAAACAATGTGATGTCATTGATACAGTGAAACAATGTGATGTCATTGATACATTGATATAATGTGATGTCATTGATACATTGATATTATGTGATGTCAATGATGCAGTGAAATAATGTGATGCATTGATACAGGGAAATAATGTGATGTCATTGATACAGTGAAACAATGTGACGTCATTGATACAGTGAAACAATGTGATGTCATTGATACATTGATATAATGTGATGTCATTGATACATTGATATTATGTGATGTCAATGATGCAGTGAAATAATGTGATGTCATTGATACAGTGAAACAATGTGATGTCATTGATACAGTGAAACAATGTGATGTCATTGATACATTGATATAATGTGATGTCATTGATACATTGATATTATGTGATGTCAATGATGCAGTGAAATAATGTGATGACATTTATACAGTGAAATAATGTGATGTCATTGATACAGTGAAAAAAGTGATGACAATTATGCAGTGAAATAATGTGATGTCATTGATACAGTGAAATAATGTGATGTCATTGACACAGAACAGTGTGTAGAGTGCATTCAACCTGGCATTCAGAATTAATTTGTTTTCAAAAGCCGCAATTACTTGTATGTGATAATGATCTATACGCTTTCAGACATTTCAGAGGTTGTGGTTGCTTATAATCAACGCCACACTGATTTGGCTTTTCTACATTTAGATTTTTTCAGTATTTTCCTTTAGAAAAAGTTATATGAGTTTCAAACATATTAAAATGAAACACTGTTGTACATGCTTATTAAAGATTGAAACAAAGCTCGGGTACAAACTTGTATGTAAAAAACC